AACGCAGATATTACAATATAAAACATGGTTTCAACCCTGGGTGGGATCTAGTCCGGCGAAAGTTAAATGAGAAAATTTTAATTTTCCACTGAAATAATACTGATTTGAAATAAATATTAATTTAATAATTTTTTTTTCTTGTCATTCTATCAATTCTCAAAATAAGAATATTCTTTTAAAAAAAATGATCTCGAATTAAATTGAAAGTAAATTAAAAAAATATATTTGAAAACCACATTCCATTTCTTTTTTGTCAAACAAATAACCGGGAATTGGTGTCCTATTTTTTTTTCTTTTTTTTTTTGAGGATATGGAGGATTCATCTTCATTCATTAGAAAACTGATATTCTTATGCGCATGACGAAATAAACATCACATGTATATAAATAATGAAAAGCATAGAAAGTCGTGAAGTCACGCGAATATCTCCTAATTACGAGCAAAATACTTCTCTCCCCGGATCTGAATATATATATATATATATATATATATATATATTGATCTGACTATTATTTACACAAAGCTTTATACACTCGACGATCATTATACGCTCCATTCAAATTCTCCAGTCTCATGATCAGAGCGGAAATATTGAATCTAGCATAATTGTACTTTCACACTTTCGTTGTTTCGCCTGACCACGAGAACCTCTTTCTTTTATACGGTATGTGGATTACTAGATCTCTGGAACACGGAAACGGTCAACAACAGATGTTTATACTATATATACTGTTTATATATACATACAAGGGACTATATCGGTGCCAAGCGTTATTATTGCGGGAATTTATTATTATCGAGTCTGATAAATCGTCTATGATGTTTACGGGCAATTAATATTGGACTTATTAAATTTTTAAAAAAAATTATGTTGAATAATTTATTTATTTCCTGTATGCAAAATTATTGAAAATTTGTTGACTCGATCATTTGATCAAATTTTTAACTTGATCTTGAAAGTTTAAAAAATAGTTACTTCGAATTCAAAAGATTTTAATTTTTAAATTTAACCCTAGACAGCATAACATAGCTTGCTCATACGTAGAAGCACATCTGGAGAAAAAAATGTGGTAGAAAACCACCTCAGAATTGTTTCGTTGCTAGAATTTTCATATTTAACGCAAAATAACTTTATTATAAATAATTTTCTTCCTTTTTTTATAAGGAAGAAGATAGTGTTTTTTGTTTTTTGATAGGATCAAAAATATGGTCATAAAATTACAAAAACCACAACAAAAAACACAAAATCTGCAAAAAAAAAATACCGAAATTTGAATTTATTATGGGGTAGTAGAAATTTCTACTCTCTAAATCTGAATTAGTAGTTTTCTACTAATGAAAGTGTGCGGATTCGTTTACCAATTGAATTAGTAACAGTTTTGACTCTTTTTTAGTATACTGTAAAAAAAGGGAGTTAAGGTTTTACGAGTTAATTTATGCCTAGGGAGTTAGTTTGAAGGAGTTAATTTAATTATTAACTCCCTTTTTGAGTTGATTTTTAACTCGAAAAATTTAACTCCCAACTCCCAGTGCTGTTAACTTCCTAATTTTTTTACATTGTAAAAAACTACTAATTGCTAGTAGAAAACTACTAACTCATGGAGTAAATCGGCTTACTAATTTTAAATAGTAAGAAATACGACTTACTCTATAAATTAGTAGTTTTCTACTAGCAATTAGTAGTTTTTTACTAAAAAAGAGTCAAAACTGTTACTAATTCAATTGGTAAACGAATCCGCACTTTTTCATTAGTAGAAAATTACATACTAATTCAAATTTAGAGAGTACCCCAAATGTGCTTTCTAAGGTTAATTTTTAGTAAAGAAAATTTTTGTGAATTAAAATAATAAATTTTTTCTAATCAAAAAAATGTTTTCCTTTAAATCAAGAAAATTTTTCTCTTTGAAATAATTAACTAAAAACAATTGACATATTTTCTTTGAATGAAATAAGAATTTTTTGAGAAATAAATGTTTAAAGTTTATATATTTTATTTGAGAGAAATTACAGGATTGGAAGGATTTAAAAAAAATTGAATTTAGAAAAAGAATTTCAAGCATTTAAAAACCAAATCATGCAATGTTCTTTTTTATTTTTCCTTCGTAAACCCGTTTACTAATGAAATAAATAAATTTTTAAATATTTTTTTGAAAATCACAATATATCGTGGAAATTTAAAATCATATCAGTTTCAATATTCAGCACATATTGAAAAAACGTGTTACTTCACTTTTGGCTGTTGACTTTTCAGTTTTTTAGTAACAGTCTCGATTTTCAGTTTATTTTTTCTTTTGGGTTTAAAAATGAAAATGATATCCCTTCAATGTGAATTATGTCAAAATTTGTAAAAAAAAATTTAATAAATTTCATTTTGATTGTTCCCTCACAACAAAAGGATATTCAGGATATCCTTGGGACGTCCTGGGGATATCGATTTGTTTTCGGCGGTTTGGATATCCCTGGGATATCTTAGAGATGTCCATGGATATCCAGAGGATATCTTAGGGATATCCGAATCGCCAAAAGCAAATGGATATCCCCAGGACGTCCCAGGGATATCCTGAATATCCTTGTGTTGTGAGGGTTTAAATTAAATCAAATGTGCTCCTCAGTGATCTGAGCTTCCAACAAATTTTAGGTTATGTTGAGTGGTAGTTTTATTACCTTGATTAAACGCTCACATTTCTAATAATGTAAAATTAAAATCGGTTTTTATTGAATATTTTTGAGGTCATCACTAAATTTTACTTTAGAAAACACTTTCAATGATTAAATTTGCAAAGTGTTTATCTTGTCTTTAACTTATTATTTTAATCCAATTTTGCTTATTTTAATACCAAAATACATTAAAATAAGCAAAATTGGATTAAAACAATAAGCGTTGCAGCTTATTTTAATGCCTTTTAATTTTTTGTGTAATAAGCGACACCTAAAAAAATGTAAAAATATCTTTCAGTAAACGGAAAAAAAAGTATTAGAAATATTTTAATACTTTTTTAAAAAAATAATATTAATTAACTAATTTTTAGTATTTTTTATATTTTTAAACATTAATTTAAGAATTTGAAAACCATTTTAATAAAAATAGTAATTTATTTTATACTGAAAATGTTTTCAAAAAACCTTTAAATAAATTTTAAAAGTCTAAAAATTAATAAATTGGTATTATTTTTTAAAACATTATTAAAATATTTTTAACACTTTTTCTTCCTGTATATCTCACTTAGAAGCTTAAACTATTTTACCAGTAAACAATATAAATTTATTTATAAATTTGTCAGTAATATTTACGAATAAAATATAGTAAAAAAATAAAAATAGAGTAACGTTTTAATTCCTGTTTTGTTGGTTGATCGGCGTCAGTTTGCAAGCAGCAAATATATATTTGCCTATAATAAAATCCACACGAATTGCAAGGTGAGGTAGGTCGATTGCGTAACGGTAAACGATATATACATATACCAGTATATGTATAATATAATCATGTATTACAAGTGCGTAAGATTTTTATAAAGTAGAGCAACTGCCTTCAAGTGGTTTCTGGAGAGTCTACATTTTTTGATTCAACTGTGCTCGGTTGTCGTGGTGGTGAGCTAAACGCTTGTTTGAGTTGAAGTAAATATCTGCTCGAGCGGAGATTTCAATGCGTGGGCTCGCAAGTCCGTTTGGAATCTTGACTCTTGCGCCGCGCGTGCTTTCTTCTTTATTGGTCGCTGATCTATTTTCAAGTTCCACACGGCCTTGTAAAAACGATTTCTAAAATATACTACCTCAAATAAAATAAAATCACGTCTATATCAATTATTTTATTTCCTTCAATTTTACTAAATGTATATATAAATTTTCGTCCCTCTGAAGTGAGAAATAAAAAACAAATGGAGAAACACGAATAAAACAAGATATAATAAAAAAAATGAGGTTTTGATAAGTATAAATTATAATTTTTTGATACTAATAACTACTTACTCCCTTCTTGATTTTGATTATTATTTTTTCATATGGGATTTTAATCTGTATTTAGTACCTATATATGTACGAAAGGGTTTCCTTAATAAATCCGCATATGAGCTTGAAATAAATAAAAATAAATTATTATATTGAAATATTTGTGAATTTATAAACAATGTATCTGTTGTATAGTTATTTATTTAAATTGTGTATATTTATAATAAATATAAATCGAAAAAAATACTCTAATAGTTAATTTTCTAACTGTAATTTTATGCGAATGGTAATTTAATAAATAGTGAGTTTAAATCTTTATAATGATAGCAATTTATTTGAAAGGATTAGAAGGTAATAGCAGATGTGTTATAGAACAATATTTCTTCGTCAGCTTGTTTGGAAATAAAAGTATGAGATGGCGCCACATTTTAGTAGTGTAAGCAAATGTTAATTCAGAATTATTTATTAATTAAAATTACTATCAATTTAGATTTTTTTTTCACCTATTACTCTATTTATTTTTATTATTGTTTATTTATTTATTTGGAATATATACTAACTTACAAAATAGATAAATAAAATATTATTATTATTATTTAAACGCTATTTTTTCTGAATATAAGTTGAGAATTGATCTAAACCAATTTATATTTATTAACATAATATATAAATGTAATATTAAATGAATAAATTATCACACTTATTTTTTCAAATTTGTATTTAAAATTTACTGATTAGTAATAATTATTGCTTTTTTTTAATTTGACAAAATCTAAATTTTGTCATTCTTTTCAAAATGTATGAGAATTTAAAAAAAAAAAGAAATAAAACTTAACGAAACTTAAAAAATGTAAAGAATATTTTTTATCAAATTTTATTTTTAATTTTTAAACCACATAATCATTCACGATAATATATATATAGTTGATTGAATAATATTTTTTTAATTTTCTTTTATTTCAAAAAATATTGCAAATTGAAGAAAAACAAAATCAAAAAAAAAAAAATTATTTTTTATTATTTTCCAGAGGGATTTTGAATAAATATAACACAAATGAATAATTGCAGCTGATAAATATGTAACCTGAAGAACACAAATATACATGAAAATATGTATTATATAAAAGTCAGGTATATTTCTTTGGGACAAGACGTACACGCCGTTCGCCATTCTTTATTGAAAAAAAACAACGTTGGTCAAAATACAACCATCAATACGAGCACACAACAAAAATTTAATAAATAATTATCATTAATTCTTAAATAATAGTACAAGTAACATATTAACAATGTAACTATAAATGGTCTATGTATAAAGAGTATTTCGCGGATACTGGCTTCCATATGTCGAGTCGTTTTTGTATATAGAATGCGCCCAATAAAGAGCACACAACTATTTATGGAATATAGCATATAAATCAGGCATACAAGAAAAAGAGGTAGGTTTCAAGTGAGAAGTAGGGCGAGGGCTCATGACCCTCGACGATGAAGGAAGTCAAGTTGGAGAAAGGGACAGGCGAAGATCGAGAAGGAGAGATCAAGAGCTTCAGGAGATCGTTATAAGCTGATAACATTGCGAGCAGGAAACTTCCAGAAACGGGGAAATTCGAAGGAAAAGAGGAAAAATGAAAACTGGAAACATTGAAATTAAAGAGGAAGTGGAAGAGGGATAGTTTGCAAAACATTTGTTTTACAAAAAAAGGAGGAAATAACAAAAAGAGAATAAAGAAATTATGTTCATTTTAAATTATAAATTCAATCACGAAAAAAACCAGGGAAACAAGAAAAAACAAATAGAAGCGAATTCAGAATTTGAAAATTTTAAATTGAATTACGATAATAAAGCAAAAAAGAAAAAAAAATGCAAAAAGAAACTAATAAAAGCAAAAAAATGAATAAATAAAATTATAACAAATAAAAACTAAAATAAACAAATAAGAACAAACAGCAGCAAATAAAAACAAATAGAAAAAAAAATTAAATAGAAACAAATAAAAAAAAATAGAAACACATGATAACAAAGAAAAAACAAATAAATCAACAAATTATTATAACAAAATAAAAATAACAAATAAAACAAAATTATAAAAAACAATGACCTCAAATTTTGAGGAACATACAAAAAGAATAACAAATTTCGAAAGTTAGTAAAATAATTAACAAGATAAGAAATAGTAGAAATAAATTTTTGAAAGATAAGATTGTAATGAGAATAAAAACGAGAGAATTAAAAAAAAAAGAAACAATTTTCCAATATAAATATACAAAAAGCAAATATGTAGCAATTAAATTAAAACAAAATGCAAGAAAAAAAGCTCAGTGAATAAAAACCAAATAAGAAAATATAAAAAATAGAATAAAAAAATACAAAAGAAACAAAAGCGAAAAATTCAACAGCAACAATAAAAGTAGGGAAAATTAGATAACAAAAAAATAACGAAAATTCAAATAAAAAAAAAAATGAATTCGCAATAATGAAAAATATTTTTAAAAAAAGAGGGAGGGATATGTTAAAACAGTAAAAATAAACAAAAACTTAAAGGTCCAGTATGGAAAATACAATTGGAAATAAAAAAAAAAAAAAGAAATGGAAAGAAAAAAGTGGAAAACAAATAGGAAATGAGGAATACAAAGGAAATGAATAATAAATAATGTGAAAGAAAAAAATACAAAGGAAAGAGATAAATAAATTAGGGGAAAGAATACTTAAAGGAGCAGAAACGGAAAAAGGAATATAGGAAAAAATAATTACCAACATCAAAAGGAATCGCACACTATAAGGAATGAAGAAACATATGAGGATAAAAAAAAGGTCAACATAAGATATCGAGAATAGGACGGAGGAATAGAAAGTCCCACGTAGAAGATCGTAGAAAGTTGAAGCGAGGAACAGGTGGAATGGTACATAGGAGGGACCGAGGAACAAGGTCACGAGGGAAAGAGATCAAAAGAGAAGACAATATAATATATATATATATAAGAGCAGATGAAACGAAGATGAAAAAAAAACTTTCTATTTCGTGGTTTGGGCCTTGATCTCAGGTTGATGAGCATTGTAGGCAATGTCGTGGGCATCTTGGGGTAAACTTCTTGCCCATCCATGACCACTGCTGGCACCACCACCACCACCACCACCACCTCCGTAACCTCCAAAATCACCACCGCCACCGCCACCTCCACTTGAGAATCCACCGTGACCACCGTCGTCGTGACTCAAATGACTGCTACCACCGTGATGTGGATGTGCCACCACTTCATACGTCACATGCTTCTCCTTTGATGCCAATAATTTTTTCAATCCAATTATCGACGAGATAACTAAGGCAATTTTACCAATTAAAAGTGCTTTGCCTGCAATCAATGCAATTGCGCCCAATGCCAGGGGCAATAAAGCTGCTGCCTTCATTGCCACTCCCATCATTATTGGGCCCAATATTTTTTGCGCTTTTTCTGAAAATTAAAATTTTTTATTTTTAATATTTTCATCATTCATTTTTACGTCAAACAAAAATAGATATACTCAATTCATTATATCACGTGTGGAATTATTTCATGGTAAATTATAGTAACTGTACAGTAAACGTCTCGTATAACTGGTCACTCGTAAAACTTATATATATATTCAAATACTGTCTAAAATATTTATATAATTAATTCTTCTTTATTGAGAAATTAAATAAATTCTCTCAAGAAAATTTAATCAACGAAGTATAGAATTGCAAATTTTAGATATTATTTATATTTATTATAAAAAGATTCATTAATATTTTAATGCAAAAATTTAAAAATATTAATAAAAAATTGAAAAACTTATTTTTTTTTTTTTTTAATATATTGCACTGAAAAAAATTTATTTGATTCAAATAATCGGTTACTTGACTATAATTGCAAATAAATATATTTACTAAATAATTTTTATTTGAATTAAATAAACTGTGTTTGAAACTTTAAACCAATAATTTTCACTGAAAAAAGAAGTGTTTTAATATAAGATGTTTTGATAGTCACTTTAAAGACGTTTTGGTTGTCATTTTTTAGTTATTTAAAGTATCTTATTTTAAGATGTTATAATAGAAATAAAGCATCTAAATATTAAAATTAACATCTTATTCTAAGATGGAAGCGAATGAAAGATACCATTTCCATTTTAACATCTTGTTTTAAGATACCAAGAAGATACCTACTTTTTTCAGTGTTTCTCTTTGAAACAAATACCATTTAATTTGTGCTAATCGGAACTTTATCCATTGATTTAAATAATAATTATTTGATGTAAATAAATTTTTTTTTAAGTGTACATTTATTATTGTAATAATATAATTATAATATATTGTAATTATTACGTACTACAATTATTACGTAATGTAATAATTATGGTATTAACTAATAAAATTTTTAAAAATTAAATATTTCTGCGAATAAGGAAAATTTCTAGATTCTAAAATCCCTTACACTAAGTAACGGATTTTAAATCTACCAAATGTTCAAGTGTCCTGAATTTTCTAAATAATCTAGATAGTTCCTATATAGTTTACGTATCTAGAAACTAGAAAGTTTTCATATAGTTTAACTATCTAAAAACTTGTTGGTCGTAGCGTTACATTTCTATCTAGTTTCAGTATACTTCAACTATACCATGGCTATATATAAAAAATAAAAATAATATAGCGTAAAGTAACGTCAAGTATATAAATTGGATTTAAATTAATAATTATAATAATATGATAATAATAATAATAATAATAATAATAATAATAATAATAATAATAATAATAATAATAATAATAATAATAATAATAATAATAATAATAATAATAATTTGGTAAATTTTGTATATTTTGGGCATAAAAACGTGGGTGTGACTAATTAACAAAAATACACTGTAAAAAAAGGGAATTAGATTTTAATTCCCAACGGGACTCTATAAAAGTCACACCTTTTCGGAGTTGAAGCAAAGAGAAATGACGCTAAGAGAGTTAATTTTATGCCTAGGTTGTTAATGCTAAGTGATGCTAAGAGAGTTAATCTAATGTTAACTCACTTTTGGAGTTGTTTGTAAACTGCAAAAATTTTACTGCTTGTTTTATTTCTTTTTCTAGTTAAATTTTTTCAATTGCTAACATTTCACTGTAAAATGAAGGTACTAAAAAAGTACCAGTATTAGGTATCAAAATAGAACCAAATAACAATTTAATACCTAATGTTGGTATTAAATTAATACCTAATGTTGGTATTAAATTAATACCTCTCGTTTAACAGTGTTTCCGTTTAGAGTCTTGAAATATTCAAACTTAAAAACAAATAATTAGTCATGCCCCAAAAATGCTTTTTTTTTGGAAAAATATGTAAACTTTTGTTAACGATGAAATATATATTTAAAAAATCATAATGATTTTCAAGTTCATCACTTCAATTTTTTTTTTTAATAACAATTGACCAAATTAATTTATGAGGTGTTTACCTTGTCTTTAATCATTATAAAAAGTGATACGGTTTCATCTTTAGGACTATTAATTAGTCACGCCCCATATCATTCACTTAACTATTAATAATAATAATTATTGTCATTATTATTTTCATTAGTGTATATTATCATTATTAGTGTATATATATAATGATAATTTTTTAATTTATTATAATTATTAATTATAAAAAATTATGTGTATTTGTTTATTTATTTATTAAATAAATAATAATATTAAATTAATCATTTTCATATAATGAAGATTAATGAGATGACGTCTAATGTTCCTCTATATTAATGTAGTATTGAATTATATATTAAGTAGGTATATTCTTCGTGATTAATAACATGACGCGTAATCATAAAAAGTTTCAGGTGGATAGTTAACTGGAGCTGTTATATTATAATATACAGTGTATACTATTAGAATTTAACCTTTACTTAGAAAAATTTTCATGTAATACACTTTGATATATGGCAATTCATATTTATATTGCAATAAACTTAAAAATTAGACTCGACAGATATTTCAAGCGTGATAAATTCGCCACAGAAAGTTAACCATGCGCAATACATTGGGGCAATTCGAGCAAAGAAGTAAGTGAATCAAAAACTGGGATGCATGACAATCGGTTTTATATTTAAAAAAAAAAACAGGATAGATTAAAATAACAATAATGATGTACTACTGTTACCATTAATAATAGGTATAATAATAATAATAATAATAATAATAATTATTATTATTATTATTATTATTATTATTATTATTATTATTATTATTTATTTATTTATAAATAAAAATATCTTTATCTGCATTGCTATTCAAATGTTGCTTTTACATTCATTTAATAGCTGGCTCATACATAGAAGCACATCTGGGGTAGAAAACCACCCCAAAATTATTTTGTTGCTAGACTGTTCATATGCAAAATAACTTTATTATATATAATTTTCTTCAGTTTTTTATAAGGAAGAAGAAAGCGTTTTTGTTTTTTGATAGGATCAAAAATATGGTCAAAAAATTTAAAAAAACACAAAATTTGCAAAAAATACTGAAATTTGAATTTTTTCTGAGGTAATTTTCTACCCCAGATGTGCTTTCTAGGGTTAAAGACGTATTTCCGTACATTTCGCTTTGATTTATATTTCTCTATTATTTTTTTTTTTTGTCAAATCCAATTGAGAGATGAAAGATAGTTTGAGATAGAAATTGCAAGTTCAATGGAGCGGAAAAAAGGTGAGAAAACAATATATATATATATATATATTGGATGTAATCGATTAGTGGAATTTTGCTGTGGGATGATTCTTGAAGCTATTAATCTAAAATATCTAAAGTGGAATAGGCGAAGGTCAAGGCGAAGTACATTGCCAACCATCATGGAAAGTATGTCAAAAATCCCGCATGATCAGATCGTTCGTCTTTTTTTTTTTTTTTTTTTTGCTTGTCTTTCTCAGTTTCCCATCACCTTTTACTCATATTCTGATTCTCTCTCTTTCTCTCTCTCTCTCGCTATTTATACTTCCTATTTCTCTTTCTCTCAACCTCCATCTTTCTCATATCATTTATTTCTCTCGCACTACTGATGATCCTGTGTATTTCTTGTATGAGAAGTTCAAGGGGAAGCGGAACCAGTTTCTTCAGTGGGTCAACGTCTGCGAGTGAGATCGTCTTCATCGTCTCTGTCGCAGCTGCGCTATTCATCGTGACCACGAATGTCATGTATCGTGTGAATGCATGTGTGGCATTTCACACATTTTTATTTATATATTTATTTATTTATACATATATGGAGACATTTTTTTATTCGATGCGCAAATATAATTTATTTAAATTAAATAAAAGTATATTTGTTTTAATAATAAATATTTATTTAGCTCCAAAATATATAGTCTATTTAACGTAAGAGGAATCTTTTAACCATAATCAGTTTTTCTTCTTTAATATTGCTCCAAGAGGAAATCGTTTATTGGCAAAAGTAATTTTTTTTTTTTAAACAAATAAAAAAGATTATATTTTAATTTAAAGAGAATAAATTTTTGTCAATACATCGAAAGAAATTTAAAAAAATTATGTTTATTTATTTTGTGTATTTTTTTTGTATTTTGAAAAACGCATACTTTATGCAGGTAAAAATAATTCATAATCAGAATTAATGTAAAATTTGATTGTATGAAAATTTTTTACGTGCAAGTAATCTCATTATTTTTGAGTACACAATGAGATTTTTTAGACCTCGCAAAGATTCACGTATCAAATATATATTATATATATTCACACATGTATATATATATATATATATATATATATAAATAAATGTAGAACGAATCCTCGGGCAATTCCGTGAAATCAACATAAAAGGAATGTAATAAGTGGACCACTCTTTAATTCATTGGATGGATTTTGACCTTAATTTCTTTATGTAATTGTGTTTGTTGACCATGTTTGTCTGTCACTTGACAATTTGCACTAGCACAATATTCCAGTTGGACTTGGTCCAACATGTACCGTTATAATTGATTATCTACAGGTTTTCTATAAATTATTATAATAACGGAGTTGTGCGAATATTTGAAGTTTTGTGTGTTTTCGTTTTTGAGAATTTTTGCTGACTTTCTTTTTTTAGATTTCTTCTTTCTTCAATTTATTTCATTTATTGCTTTTCCTCTGTTTATAAGTTTCTTCATTTACCATATTTTTTTCTGATTCTCCATTTTTCATTTTTCCTATTCATTTTTTTATTTATATGTTAATTTTCTTCACCTTCGTAAGTTTCTATTTTTTTGATTCTGTAGGTTTCTTCTTTTTTTTTCGTATTCTTCCGGCTGTATGAATTTTTTTTTACTCTTTCTTCATTTTCTATACATTTCTTCTGTTTTCGTTTTCTTCTGATGCTGAATGTTTCCATCTTTTTATTCTTCAATTTTTCGACGTTTCTTCTTTTTTTTTTTTGAATATTCTTCCTTCTTATTTTAAATATATTTTCAACATTCTTCTTCTCTTGGATATTTTTTTCACTATATATCCCTTATAGAATATTCTACCTCGTTTGAATGTTTTTCAAATATTTTCAGTCTTATTTATTCATATACTTTTGAATTTTATTTTTATGTTTTTTCTTTAGATTAATTTTCCTCATGTTTACTTTATTGCTCTCTCATGGAGTAAGTATTTCTATTTGTTTTACGTTTTTTTTTTTTTTTTTGGAAAAAAACACCCCCTTATTTTATTTGTATAATTACAACTTTTTTTTATTTATTTCATTTAACTTTTTTTTTTTTATTTCTTTTAATTGACTTTTTTATTTCTTTTTATTTATCCTTTTTTGTGAAGCAAACTTCCTGTTTAAAAAAAAAAAACGATTCTAAACCAGTCTTTAATAAACTTTCATTAAATTTGCAATCATAAACACCATCGTTCAATTAACAATTTATAACGTTGAGATTAAAAATACCGGTTATGTCGTTCAACTTGTCAATTGAAGAAGAAATAATAAGAATTAAAAAATAAAATTAAAAAAAAAAAATTGCAATTTGTACAAGACTATTAAACGTGTGTACATTTATTTTGATGTAGGGATAATTATTGAAAATAAATTGACTTGAAAATTTACTATTTGTATATAATTAAACGAATAATTCGATTAGTATAATTTTTTGTTCTTTTATACGGACATGAATTATTAATTTTATATAGTCTAGATGATTAAGTTTGTGTGATGTGTTAATTTATACGGAATAAACTTTGATGAAATGAATGGAACAGATTGATTACAAATAATTAATTTCACGTTCATTCAGAAAATGGTTTGAAATTACACTTGTGTATCTCGAGAGCCCACACCAGTATGGAATAAAACAAGAATAACCAGACTGGAAATTATATTATGTTATAGTATAATCACGTGAAACAGTCATTTAAGACACTTTTACTTTTTCACATATATATTAGGTATATATATATATATGGAATCTTCAAAGCTCCTCTATTATAACACCGTATAATTATTTTTCTGAAGGATTTTTTTCCCCCTTTTAAAAAAGGGCCTAATGTTCCTTGTGTAATTTTAAAGTGATATTTAAAGAATTTAATGAACGTTTTTTTTTAATAAGAGAAAATTTTTTTAGAATCTAATATTTATAATTTATTTGAATTAAATAAAAATATATTTGTCTAAAATCTAATTTATATTTATTTTTTAAAATATAAATTTCTTCTGACAGAAATAAAATTTTTATTTGAATCTAATAAAATTAATATTAAATTATTTTATATGGTTAATTATTATATAAATTTGTAAATTATTTTCAATTATTAGTTATTATCCATAAATAAATTTAATAAATTATTAATAAATAGAATTAATGATAAATTCAATTTGTTAATGAATAATTATTTCGTATTTTTAAATTTCACTTACTTTTTTTGCCTCGTCCTTCCTCGGTACCATCATCGGTGATATCCTCGAGGCTTCGTCCTGCTGATTCAATGGCTCCCAATATGTCGCTACCCTTAAGATCAACTTTTACAGAATGTGTCCTAAGAAATCTTCCCAAACGGTCAAATAAAAGGGTGTCAACATCTGTATTTTCAATTGATCTAAAAATTAAAAAAGTTTTCCAATGAAAATTATTAAATTATTAAAGTCATATAATTTGATACCAGGAATAATGGAAAGTTAATTAATTTCTTAATTTATACTTATAGAAAAATAATAATACAAATAATATGTTACATATTGCATTGATTATTTAGAAATAATAAACAATAATTTGAAACAAATTAAATGTGTAATATTCTCCATAAATCTGCAAATAAATTAATTGCCAATTAAAAAAGAATATATATATATATATAGAACTAGATATATAAAAAAATATGCATAAAATAATATTGATTGTTCTAAGAAATAATAATAATATTTTATTATTTTTTAGATCAATATTAATAAATTATTACTATTATATGTTAATAATGATTATTATAAATAATTGATAGTAATTGCAATTATAAGTTTCAATAACTCTATATGGCTAATTTAATAATTGTTATTAATAAATGAAATAATTTGAATTGTTTAGCAAAATTTTATATTTTTTAAAACTGTTTTATTAATTTTTTTTCCTTACAGCACAATTTCAAAAGAGATATTTTTTTTGTTTTTTTTTTTTATTTATTTAAATGATGAAAAATAGTTTTCCGAATTTTGAGAAGAAATAAATGTCCACTGACCTGGGAGCGCCCTCTTCGGTGCTACCGGTTTTGACGACAGTAATTCCCTCACTGAGGGTGATGTCCTCTTTATCAGTGAGCATTTTATCAACAAACGCAAAAACTTTATATTTGATACAACTCATTGAATCCTTTTTCAAACAATCCGAATAGATCGCCGCCATGAGATCATTTTCAACTGGATTTTTATCACTGGCCGGAAGTGCCGAAGTCGCGGCCACCGCCAGTATAAATAGTACCGATAATCTATCAAACATTATTTGTTTGAATTTTATTTTTTCCCCTCTTTAAACAATTTATTATTATTATTATTATTATTCTACGATCAGCAGTCGTAGACACGCGGTTACGTGATACCGCGTCGTCGCAGTCACGTGTTCACTGGAAACTGTTGTTCTTTTTTTTTTGTTTTTTTTTTTTTTTTGCTCTCACTCTCGAGTCCCTTGTTTATCCTGTCGTTCGGATGCGTCGACGGACATGAAATGCGACCGGTTGACTTGTGTGTTGCATCTAAAAGACCTTGCTTTGCTTTTATAGCAGGAGAGCCAATACGAGGGGATTTCGCGTGGTTACAGGTCCCACGGAGTTTGCACGTCTCCCCACTCGAATACACCGATCTTTCCCTTCCCGTGACCCCTAATAGATCCCTCTCCTTCTTTTCGCAATATTCTTTCCCCCTCGATTTTTTATGAGACCCCACATTATTATTATATATATATATATATTTTTTTTTTTTGACAAAAAAGGGACCACCGATAAATATATATATGTATAAAGTGAAAGAAGGAGGTAAGAGCAAAAAAAAATTGATCCTCGCTTCACTTCATCAAGACCTACTTAAGGAACCATCATCAATAATCCACAAACACGATGGGGGCAAAAATTACCATCAAAGAAGATGACCACAACTAATATAAAGAGAGGTGTATTCATCCCAACACCTTTCTCGTGCATATTCATTAACTTGATAACTCCTCTACTTCCCCGTGAAGTCATGATGATGATGATGATGATGATCATCTATTGTCAATCGAGAAATCATCATTCCCACAAATTACCTACTTCTGGGATTTTCTCTATGGTTGATAATAATTTTTCCTCCAGGCTCCACTTATTATTTGTTTAGCTCACGAGGAGAGACTTCCGACAGCTGTGTGCTGTTCGGTGAAACGACATAAAACCAACTTGCTACATAATGTGGGAATGAATTAAAGAATGGAATTAAGATCTGGAGCTTGTAACTCAAGGTCAGATTGTATACAAAATTGTATATACGCGTGGATGTAGATAATGTCAAGAGTCGCAATAATTTACAAATGCGGTTTTTTTTTCTTTTTTTTTTTTTTTTTTGACAAAAGTAACATTCAGGATGTACTTAACATGACAGGGAACATTAGTGAAGTAAATGATTTTCCCAAGATAATACCAACAACGATATTCGCGCGACGATATGGACAAAAAAGTATAATCGTAGGTACAGTTATGGCAGGATACAGGAAAAATACCGATTTGTAGGTTAGTTTGTTGATTTCTAGGTTGAAACGTAATCGGCAGAAGTTAATTAATATCGTCAGCAGTCAGTTCTGGATTGGTGCAATTTTCAAGAGCGATTGGCGCGACGGATTCTAACCGATCATTACTAGGTATAGCGTCATGGAAAGTCCTTTTGCGAATAGCGGTTCAAAAGTGGTATCAGATTTTACCTGCTTGCATTTTCTTTCTTTCGAATTAGAATGAATTTATTATTAAATAAGTGTATTTTCAAACTTGTCTTCTTTCTTTTTCCTTTTTTCTTCACTCTTTCTTTCCTTTCTTCACTTATATATATATATATATATATATATATATATATATATATATATATATATATATATATATATATATTCTTCTCTTTTTCATTACAACTGAATGGAAAAAAGAAATTTGAAAAAAGTTAAAAGAGTGAGTGATTCTCGTATATAAGGATCATGCTTCTTGCTAGAGTAAATCTTGTAATTATGATGATGATCATCAACATCAATATTAAACAAGTTAAAGTATGAACTTTTTGTGTTCATTTCATGAACACTTTGCTTCCTCATAGAGATTTTTTTTTGATCAATTTATGGTAATTTATTTACTATTATAATAATTTTAAAAAGGTGTTAAGTTGTATTTTTTGGACGTTTGCAGAGATTGATTATAATTGAGAAGAAGAAGAAGAAAAAAGAAGAAACAATGATGATATTCTTGATCATATTAAGAAAGAATAAGAAGCCTAATAATAATAAAGAAGAAGAAAAAGTAGTAGCAAATGAAATGATAATGATGGTAACTTTGATCATAATAAGGAAGATGAAACTGAAGAAAAAGTAAAAGAAGGCAACAATAATGCTAAGCTCGATAAATAATAATAGATAAGAAGAAGTAAAGAAAATGATTGATCATAATAATATAGGAGAAGTGCAAAATAATATCCTAATAAAGAAGAAGAAGTAGAAGTAGCAGAAGTAGAAAATGATAATAATAATAATAATAATGAAAAAGAAAAGGAAGAAGAGAAAAAGATGATGATATTTTGTGGACAAAAATTTAATGATTTTCTTGCTAATTTAATTGCATTATCAATCTCATGTCACTTTTCCCTATTTTTTGTGATGTATTCGGGATGCTGTAAATTTACAAATCTGTAATTTTGCTGATAGGCAGATGCAATTTCCCATTTCAGTAGCAGTATAATCGATCTTATATATATATATATAATTTAATTGATCAAATATTGTTTAACTATGTGATAAGATATAATTTTACCAGTCGGATATAATTTTACAGATCACTTATAAGCTTACCAGTCAGACGTAACGTAATTCTTTTCAAGATCAGAAGCAATTTTACTGATGAAATACAATTTAAAAGATTAGATTTCATATTACAGATAGAGGATACAATTTTGTGAAACAGATAAAACGATTCAGATGTAGTTTCTTAGTCTATAGATGCAAATATTTAACAATCAAATAAAATTTCAACAATTAAATATGATGATTAGAATAAAAAATATTTTCTATGATTAAAATACGTCATTTATAGATAAGATTCGATGTAAAATTTTTTTAACGATCAAATGCAAGTTTATCGATTGGATATACATGCGAATATGGGCTTTGATAAATTCTTCTTATGTAGTTGAGAGCGCAGGTGTTACAGGTCCCTTTTTAAAATATACTTACACCTTACGATATTGTAAGAGCCCGCTTGAAACTGGGCCAGTCACCTATTTGCAACTGGGTCGAACCAAAGAGTTGGCCGCTCTTTTCGTGATCTCGATCTTCAGGGTCCAAAGGATCGGGACCCCTGACCACGCAAGATAATCGCCCAAGGCTACTTTGTAACATAGTTCATCACACAACACGATTATCAAGTGTTGTTCATGAAAATTACTATATTCTAAGTCTTCAATTTAGCCATTAAATTTCTCCCTTGTCGAGAATTAAATAAAATTCTAAAGAGAATTTTATTCTATTTTATATTCAAAGTTTTTTAAACATTTTTCTTCATAATTTATTTTTTTTTATTATCATGGTGTATATAGTGAAGATCATCGTTGTTATAAATAAAAAAAATTTCATTATAATGTAGAAGAAGAAAAGGAAGAAAACAATGCAGATAGTGACGTTGAAGATGTAAAAAAAGAAGAAGATAAATTTTAATTATCTAAGAGTCTAAAAATCACATACTTATTAATGCAATAATTCTTCTATTTAATTAATAAATAATTAATCTTTTATTTCTTCTTTATTATGATTATGTTTCGCATCATTATTACCTTCTTCTTTTGTTACATCATCAACGCCACTATCATCATTATCTTCTTCTTCTTTTTTATAATCTACTACTCTCTACACAGAAAATTAGCGACTATTCGCTTATTCCTAGCGCACAGTATGCAGCTGGGAATAAGTAAATAACACAGGCCTGCAAAATTCGACTTTTTTTTTTTATTTTTGATATTGAAGTCGTTTCCTATGTAATTTTGTGCGCTGAACACGATCCCGTGTCCCAAAATGGCCCAGCACGTCAGGATTTTGAAAAAAGTGGGGGTAAAGAGCCCAAAAACCGTGTTTTTGGGTGTTTTCAAGAATTTTTTTCTCCTTAACCTGACGTGCTAGAAACTTCTACTAGGTCTTAAATTAAAGCTTGAAGTGGGCACTTTAAGACCCATATGCGCAAGTAAAAAAAACTTAAGGGATTTTGAGAAAAGTGGGGGGAAAGAGCCCCAAAAAAATTTTTTTACATACTTTATATCGGAGTGGTTTTTTTATGTATTTTTGTGCGCTGAACACGATCCCGGGTTCCAAAATGGCCTAAAACGACAGGATTTTGAGAAAAGTGGGGGTAAAAAAATAAAAAAATGCGTTTTTTTTTTTGGTGCCCTTTACCCCCACTTTTCTCAAAATCCCTTAAATTTTTTTGACTTGCGCTTATGGGTCTTAAAGTGCACGCTTTAAGCTTTAATTTAAGACCTAGTAGAAGTTTCTAGCACGTCAGGTTAAGGAGAGAAAAAATTCTCGAAAACACTCAAAAACACGTTGTTTAGGCTCTTTACCCCCACTTTTCTCAAAATTCTGACGTGCTGGGCCATTTTGGGACATGGGATCGTGTTCAGCGCACAAAATTACATAGGGAACGACTTCAATATCAAAAATAAAAAAACCATGCAGGCCTGTGTAATCACTCATTGAAAATTCGCTTATTACTAACGAATAGTCGCTGATTGCTAGCGAGTAGTCGCTATTTTAATCAGCCCAGAGTATGCAGCTACGAATAAGCAAATAGTCGCTAATTCAAATTTAGAGAGTAATTTGCGAATAGAATGAAAAAAAATTTATATTTGAAGTTCTGGTTAAAAAATTACTAATTATATATTTCAACAATAAAAAATAATTAATATGACTACAAAGTTCTAGTTAGATAATTTTGGTTAATTTTTTAGTAAAATCAACTAGAATACAGTATGTAAATATATAGCCAATTAATTTTTTACTAGAAAAATTCTGTTTTTTTTAATACGAATTTCTAGTAAAAATGACCAGAAATCTAAATAGAATGTTTAACCTGATTTTCTCATATTCACAGAAAATTAAAAGGCATTAAAATAAGCTGCAACGCTTATTATTTTAATCCATTTTGGTATTAAAATAAGCAAAATTGGATTAAAGTAATAAGCGTTGCAGCTTATTTTAATACCTTTTAATTTTCTGTGTTTTTAACCAGAAAAAGTAGTAAACATTTTCTTCTTGTTAGACGAACCAGAATTCTAGTTATTTGAACCAGACATTTTTTTCATTGCAGCCAACACCAAAAAAATATTTAATATACTGATTACATTTTGTTAATTTGATATTTTTCTTTTGTTATACCAATAGTCTACCATATAAACTGCGTGGCATGTATAAAAACAAATGAATAAATAAAATAAAAAGAAGAATAAAAGAAGATATTGCTAATGATAA